TCCTCTTCCTCTGTCTCCGTAATAGACCCTTCTTCAGCCACATTCAAGTTTTGCGCCCTCACGAGGCGCGTATACGCACCGCCCTGCGCCAGCAAACCCTCATGCGTCCCCTGCTCGACAATGGCGCCCTTGTTCATGACGACAATGTTATCCGCCTTGCGGATGGTGGCGAGCTTGTGGGCAATGACAATCGTCGTGCGGCCCTCGGCCGCCTTGTCGAGGGCCTGCTGCACGACACCCTCGGCGTGCGGGTCCAGGGCGCTGGTGGCCTCGTCGAGGAGGAGCACCTTGGGCTCCGAGATGATGCTCCGCGCGATGGCGACGCGCTGCTTCTGGCCGCCTGACAAGAGGCCGCCGCGCTCGCCAATCATTGTGTCGTAGCCTTCAGGCAGCTGGGAGACGAAGTCGTGGGCGAAGGCGATCTTGGCGGCGTCCTGGACGCGGCGGAGTTGCTCCTCGCGAGGGGATTTCTCCCATGGGGTTCCGACGAGGCCGTTTGCAATGTTGTCAAAGACTGTTCCCTGGAAGAGAACGGGTTCCTGCAATTGTCAGATTTGGTTCAAATTGTAGATGCATCTCATCTCACCTGCTGCACGAGCCGGACATTCTTCCTGAGCCAGTTGAGGTTCAGCTCGTTGATCGGCTGGCCGTCGAGCTTTATGGTGCCCGACTTGGGGTTATACCACCGCTCAATCAACCCAATGATTGTGCTCTTGCCGGAGCCGCTCGATCCCACGAGCGCCGTCACCTTGCCCGCGGGCACATGGAGTGAGTAGTTGTCCAGCACCGTGACGCCGGGGCGCGTCGGGTACTCAAAGGACACGTTCTCGAGGTCGACGACGCCGACGGTCTCGGTGGGCTGGTGGCCCGACTTGTCAAAGGGGTCAATCTCGGAGACGCGGTCGATGAGCTTGAAGAGCTGGGCGGCGGCGGAGGCGGCGCGGGTGAATTCGATGATGTAGGGCGCCAGCATGGTCAAGCTCGTTGCGCCGATGACCACGGACAGGAGGACTCTGAGAAAATTGTCAGCAAGAAGGTTTCCAAGCGCTGCGACTGCACACTCACGTAAAGATGTCTCCAGACTCGGTAATCTCGCCCCGGTTCAGCATGTGGATGCCCTGCCAGAAAGCCAGAGCGAAGCCGGCGTAGATGACAAAGTACTCGAACGAAAAGAGCACGCCAAATAATGCCGACTTCTTGTTGCCGATGCGGTGGGCGTCCTCGAGGAACCTGTCAAACTTCTGCACCAGCCGCGACCGGATCTCAAAGGCGTGGACGGTCCGCGCGCTCGAGAGGATTCCCTCGGAAAAGGAGCCCGCCTGGGCGTAGATGTCGAGAATCTTTGTCTCGAGCCCAGCTTCAATGGTCGAGACGACGCCCATGACGACCAGAATCAGGGGCGCGATGCAGCACACGATGAGCGTCAGCTTCCACTGCGTCGCAAAGGCGATGACGAAGGCGGTGACGAAGACGGCGAGCCCCTGGAAGGTCAAGGCGAGCTTCTCCGCGATGCCGACCTGGATGAGGCGGCCGTTGGAGATGGCCTGGGTGGCGATGGAGCCGCCGGAGCCGATATCGTAAAAGGCGACTTCCTGGCGGAGGGCGGCGTGGAGGTAGGCGTGGCGGATGTTTCGAGTGATGCGGTAGGCGGAGAAGGTCATCAGGGAGATGTAGCCGTAGGCGAGGACGAATCGCGCGATGCCGAGGTAGACAAAGTAGAGCCTGGGGGTGTCAGCTCGGTTTGATCTGTGGAAGGCGAGATGGAGACTTACGCGAGCTTTGAGACTTCATTGCGAAAGTGTTGAGGGGTGGACTGGCCGGTGGTGAAGTCTTGGATGGTGGTGACGAAGCTGCCAAAGATCAAGTTTTGAAGGGCCACGCCTGCTCCGGCGCCAATGGCGCATACGATCGAGACGGCTTGCAGGAACTTTTCAAAGGGTCCCCCGAAGGAGAAGATTCTCTGGGAGATATCTGTTGTTAGCATTCTCTCCTTACGCTGGAGCAAAGGTCGGTCGATTGATCATACCAAGTAGGCCTTGAATGCGCCGCCCTCTTCCTTGACAGCTTCGTTTGGTGAAGCAATGGCGGCGACGGTATCCTCAGCCGGACTGTGCTCCTTCTTTTCGGCTTCGGCCCCCATGTTGGGCGGGTTGGTGACTGGTGTCGATGAGAGCCGCAGTTGACAGGGTTTTGTGGGTTCGCCCCAAATCTGAGCTAGTTCGTTTGTGTCGCGTGGTGTGTTGGCAATATCAAGAGATGTGAGCCGGCGGGTTGGTTCTCTTGTAGATGAGACGAGCGAGAGTACCAGACGAGCGGGTTAAGTCATGTGGTGTACTTCCGTGAAAAGAATATTTTTTACAAACGCGCATTGTTTGCAAGTGACACACGTTCGGTCGAAATCTCGCATGTGGCATTTGCACTCCGGAAAATGAAATACGCACAAACGCGAGATGACGGATCGCCAGAGCGTCGCAGAAGTTTCCGTCATTGAAGCTGCTGCTGCTGCTGTTGAAGCCAAGCTCTCCCGCGGACCGCCGTCATGGAAGCGAGAGGCCCACCGCCCGGACAGGAGTGCCCCCCCCCCCCCCTCCCGCTTCGGTGCGTTCAACGTGCAGGGGCGGGTTTGATTGATTGGTGGAGTGTAGCTTGGCAGGCTCACGGCGGGGGCCGTGGGTTCAGCGCGCCCGGGCGCCCACTGCGTTGCTCTGCGCGGGGTGCGGTGCTCTCGGGGCGCGAGATTCCAGACATCTCCAGATTTCCTTTCATCCCAAACCATTAAAGGCTAAAGGTGTTCCCCGATTGCTGTGCGATAAAATGTCAGCAGGATGTTTTGGTTTGGCCGAGTCCGACGTCGATGATGCCGATGACTCCTCGCCGGGCGGAGCGGCGATATCTGAGACGCTACGGCGCCGCGCCGACCCTTCGGAGGTGGGGCTACTTACAAGTTACCTACCTAGGTGCCATCTTTGTGGCACCTCTGGACAATATGTCGCTGTGACTAACCATGCCGGATGATTCTGCCAGACGCATTGCGGTAAGTTGAGCTAACAAGTTGGCATCGAGCTACTCGCCATCTTTGTTCTCTTTCGTCTCCGAGATGTCATACTCGATTCAAGCAGAACAGCATGCGGCAAGATGCCCTCCATATAGTCGCGTCCGGAGTCGACCTGGCTTATGGAGCCGCCGGCCGGAAGGACTAGCGGACGATGGAAAAGGCCTATACACCGTCTCTACTCACAGATATAGAGCTAATCCCCGTTCCCCGTTCCCCGTTCCCCTTCCCGTCAGGAGGTGCGGGCTTGTCCATGCCTCTTCCTACCTATCACGGGCATTCACAGATCCAAATGCGTCCATGCCGGCGATGTGGCCCTGGCATTGCCGGTGGGAATACGTTTGAATAGACTACAACGGGCCACGCTAGAACATGAGAACACTGCGAGTTCGGGATCGACACACCTCCTACCGGCGAATCATAGCCCTACTGTTCCCTAGCTAGTTTCCATCCATAGCCCGTGACCCCAGTTCAGATGCGTCTCTACAGCAGCGGTCTATCCGGCGCGAACCACCGCGTCTGAGCCTGGGTGAGCCCTGAATCGTAGAGCTGTGCCGTCACCCAGACCCCTGAAAAGGATCCATCGCAAGGGGGTGAGCACGGGGGAAGGGGGAGAGGGATCTGAATTACTAAAAATCGTGCATGCGTTCTGCAACGAGTGCCTTTCCATCCCACACCTCCTCATATGGGGTCGAGAATCCCTTCCTTTCTGATCTTTTTTCCCTTTCTAAAAACATTTACCGCGTATCCGTAAAGGTGACCTGCATGCTATTCTAAGCCTCGACTGCGGACTTGACTAGCGGCAGAATTACAGCCACAGCCATAGCCACAGCCACAGCCACAGCCACAGCCACAGCCACAGGGCCGCACCTCTGCTCCATAAAATCCGCCGGAAGCGGAACCCGCGCGCGCCGCTCCCGTTCTTCTGAGTTGCCCCCGGGCCGCGACCTCATCCCCGCCGCGAATTATTGAGGTTCCGAACCACTACGCCCGCTTTCTCGTGATCCCGTCTCTTTCGGGCCCCGAATTCATCCAAACCCCGGGCGTTTCTCCTTGGCATCCTCTGTACGACGACAATCTAGATTTCGGATCTCATTCAACCCGCCCCGCCGGATCGCCTCCGAGTCTCAGAGGAACTACCCTTGCTTCTCGGGGTACCACTTACCCCCTTCTCGAAGTGAAGCTACCTTACCTTGATCAAATTTGGCAACTCGTCGCCGAGTCAAGAATGGACGCCGGATCTTCTGCCGGGGCTGGTCCCTCCGCTGCTGGCGGCGTGGGCGGCGCCAATCTCCCCATCAAGCGAGCGGAAAGTAGACCCTCATAGTACCCAGTCGTTGTGAATCACACCCAAACTAACATGTTCGTTTAGTGCGATGCTTGCCGTGCCCGTAAAGTACGTTGTCTCACTCTTCATTGGCCCATGTCATCATGTCACTCAACACTATCCATTGGACGTAAGGGCTGACGATGTGAACCCCCTCCCTTCTTAGATTCGCTGTGATAGAGAGGAACCATGTGCTCACTGCCAGCACGCCGGCATCGAGTGTCAAAACACTTCGGGGCTCAAGCCCAAAGAGAAGAGAACCCGCATTCTCATCACGCCTCCAATAGTCAATCTCGTCCTCACTCGCATGTTCGTTCACAGCTAACCCCTACCAGTGAAAGGAAGATCGACCCAATAGACCGCCGCCTCGACGGCGTGGTCCGTCTCCTCGAGGACCTCAAACTCCAGTTTCCCCTCCAAGCACCAGCATCAGCAGCACCATCAACAGCAGCCTCAGTCTCGGGATCAACCGCCACCCCCGGAGGAGGAGCATCAGGAGGCGGCCCGCCGGCGCCCATCCAGCGCGAGACCGTCGCCTCGTCCTCCATATCAACGACACCAGCCAGCACGTCTACACAACAGCAGCACACGACAGACCCCCTGGTCGAGGGCGAGTCCTCCATGACGGCCCAGTCCATCTTCGCCCACGACTTCCTCCGCAAGACCGACGGCGACGGGTCCTCGGTGCTCGAGATGCGCGAGACCCTCGACGCCCTGCACTCGCTCGTCGAGGCGCTCCGCCACCAGCCCGCGTGCCACGAGCTGACGTACCCGCAGGCGAAACCCGTGGCCAGGCCGGCGTTTGGCGAGTGCGAGATGCCGCCTGTGCAGTCCGCCGTCAACATCATCCGCGAGGCAAAAGGTGCGCTGCTTCAGTCTCAACCAACCCTCAAGGCAACACCCACGAAGAAACGTAAGCTAACTTCTCAAACAGCTCAAAAGACGCTGGGCCTCGAGTGGGTGACGACCTTCCTCCACCCGGACCACTTCACGGACCTGGTCCTCAAGGTCTACTTTGCGCCGACAGAGTTCAACGAGGCCGAGTTCATCATCGTCAACGCCGGCCTCGAGAGCCTGTACACCGACATGACGCAGTCCAAGACGGCGACGGCGCAGCTCAGGGAGGAGTGCGTCAAGATGGGCACCCTCTGTCGGGGGAACCTCCAGACCGCCCTCGCCAATCTGCCTCTGCACCTCCCGGCCACGATGGACATGATTGTAGCCCTCTTGTTTGGTGTATGATTCTCTCCGACATCTGTATCCTTCCACGCATATAGCTAACATCCGACCAGGCCTACCACGCAATGGAAGTAGCAAAACCAAGCCTCGCCTGGACCTTGAACGTAGCCTCGGCCTAACTCTGCCAAACACTAGGCTACCACCGCGCAGCATCATCCTCCTCCTCCTCCTCCTCCTCCTCCCTCTCCATAAGCGGAACCGGCACGGGGCCATGCAACACCACCACGACCACCGGCCCCAGCACCACGAACCCAGACGACGAGGAATACAAAATCTTTCTCTTCTGGTCCGTCTACTTCATCGACAAGTCCCTCTCCCTCCGCCTCGGCCGCCCCTCGACGATCCAGGACTACGACGTCACGGCCCCCTACCCCTCGAGCGCCAGCAAGATGCACGGCGCCCTCATGAGCTATTTCTGTCTGTGGGTCATTGTCTCGCGCATCCAGGGCAAGACGTACGAGCAGCTGTACAGCCCCGAGGCGATTGCTGAGGCTATCGCTGCTGACAATCATCTACCGCGCCGTCCCCTCGCCCCCCGGCTCCGCGACGACTTTCGGAACAGAGTGCATCAACGCCGCGAGGGCGACGCTGCAGCGGCACGAGGATTGCATGGCCATCATGGCGAAGGGCGCATACTACCTGTTTCCCATGTACATGAACTGGTACGTCTCACACCCCTGACATCCGATACTCTACCGAATATCACAATTCAAAACTAACAATGGCCCAGGACCATCCTCTTCTCCCCCTTTGTCCCCTTCATTGTAATCTTCTGCCAGGTGATGGAAACAAGCGACACCTCGGACCTCGCCCGGCTCCAGGGGTTCGTCACCTCGATCCAGGGCGCAAAGGCGTTCACCGAGGCGTCGGCGCGGCTGTACCGCCTCTTTCAGGTTCTGTATAACGTCGCGTTCCGGTACGTTGAGATGCGGAACAGCGGCAGCAACAGCAACGACAACAGCGCGCAGCAGCAGTCGGAGGAGCAGGGCCAGGAGATGGATAAGTATCTCACGGCGCTCGGGTTCCCGCCGGCGTCTGGGCATCCGCAGTCGTCGTCGTCGTCGTCGTCGTCGTCGTCGTCGTCGGAAGTGGGGCCTGCGTCGGAGCAGATGTCGGGGATGACTAGCGGAGAGGATGGTATGAACGGTGCCGGGGCCGGATCCGGTGCGCTGAACCAGATGATGTGGATGGGGAACGCGGCGCAGTTGGAGGTTTGGTTTTATAGTAACCAGCAGATGATGGGACTTGTCGAGGATGATGACTCGTTTTTGCAGTGAGGGGGGGGGGGGGGGGGGGGCGGTCTTGGGTACATATATTTTTGGTGACGAGCAGGGTGGACATGGCGATAGATGGTTTGTTACGGGGCATCATGTCCAACGGACCACAGGGGGGCATATTCAAAAAGGCTACGGTGGACAAAAGGAAGTCTGGACTGGAACTAGAGGTAGCTAGGAATACCATACAGGTGCGGCTAATAGACTCAGCCCCTACACATCGTCAACCCGGTCCCGGTCAGCTCCTCCCGAACACAAGCCTTAATACCATCCAGGTCAAGCCCCTTTCACACCACAACGACCTCAACGGCCACGCCGGCCGGCAAACGCAAGCCTTCATGACCAGCGCGTTCTCCTCATCCCACAAGCAAACGGGGGTTTCAACACCTTTGGGCGCTATAGCCCAGCGGTTAATATGGAACACTCAGCTGGGGTCGTGGGATTTCCACATGTCTTACGAGACGGACCTCGACCCCTCGAGTTCGACTCCACGCTCGGGAGCTATCTTTTTTGCACTTTTTGTTTCTCCTCTCTCTCTTCCTTTGGAGTCTGTTGAACTTGACTGTGTGGCTTTGCTGTGTTGATTGTGTGACGCTGCCAGCCTAAAGCGGCCTACTTGCTTACCTACGATTATCTTGCTACATGATGCTACCGAGTGACTTTCGAATGGCTTCAGATGATTCAAAGGGGCTCAAGAACATTTGAGAGAAACGAGAATACTTCAGCTGACGTTAGGTTGCGACTATAAAATCTCCCAGAAAATGGGCTTTGGGCCCACGGACAACTTGTCGATTGACGTTTCTACATTGCGTGAAGTGGCTAGCGGTAGTATGTATGTAGTCAAGATAGCCAAAGTAGCATAAGGTAGACAGTTGGACTTGATGTAAACCCTCTTTAAGGTTGCCGAACGACTGTTTCCCTTAGAAGATGCCAATCCATGCGAATGCTGTCGAGCATCATTAATCCTCCACTACCCTATGACTAACATACCTACCTTGGTTCGGAACATCTTCTACCCCCTTCGGAATGACGGGTCTTATTGGTTGTCTGTCTGCCTGCCGAATCTGCACTGGCTCTCTCGCTCTGCTCCGTCGCTCCGAAGCAGCCGATGCACGTCTGTCTGCCTTCCCTTCTGTGCGCTACATGCATGCCATGCAATGCAAGTCGCGGATACGTTCTCGTGTTTCGTGCATGTGACACGTTCGTCTTGACTTTCTGGACACTCTTGAAATGCGATCAAAATGATGACAGGAAGACAATGAGCTCAATCTATCAACACATCACTCGAGTCTTCGATGCTGGCTGGTCCAGGATTTAAGACATCACTTTTGTCCCCAGTCAGGAACAAGAAGGCACCCGCCAAAAGTCGCCTACATCAGAGCCCGGAAGAGGCGGGATCTTGACAAACCCAGCTGCATGTTCCATGGTCACTGAGACGCGGGAAACAAACACGGGACAGAAACATAGGCCAAGGGTGCTCGGCCTCAGTCTGGGCGAGCATTAATCAGCGTTCCATGAAGCCTCCCAGTGCTTTATCAATCTCTCATCGGACGAAAAGGAAAAAAAGGTCCCGATGGATAAAATGGCAAAAGGCATGGAAGCTTGGAGAGAGTAAGTAGGTTAGGTACCACCTACGATGGGCCTGGCATTGCAGGCTTATCGGGCCTTATCAACTTATCGCGAGCTTCGAAATGGCGGGGGATAAGGCCATCCCCGTGTTTTAGCGCCATGTTTAGTGCACGCGGCCCCATACCCCGCACTGGAAGACTGGGGAAGGGGCAAGTACGGGGCCAAGCTGCGGCTCCTTTCCCTGCACGGAAGCATGCACCAGACCACTTCCACCAACACCTCACACCACCAATGACCACATCCGTCGAAAGGTACCTCTCTCCAATGCCTCGAAACTCTCACACAACATGTACTCTACCTAGCGTCTGCGACACTGTCTCTCCTCCAGGTGTTCTCCCACAAAGTACCGCGCTTTCTACCGCACATGCCAATGAGGGGAACCTTGGAACAAGCCGTAAAGAGCTGCGGAAGGGGGTAAAAGCCAACTTGGCAGACCACGCAGACTACTCCAAACAACCTCGAGGTCGGCTAATGATTGGAGGAGCTTGGAGCTCGCGCTGCGACATCTGCGACACGCCTGAACCGATTCTGCACTTCCCGTCTTGGGATGCAACGAACCTGGGGGGGTTGGCCATGGTGGGAGAGAACAAGGATCCGGATGCGCGGGTGATGGACGAGGAGGGGCGGGGGGAGGCAGCTCAAAGTAGTGACGAGGACGAAGACGAGGACGGAGACGAGGACGAGCATGGAACGAGTCCAACGGCTGAACAAAACGTGACACGGTACAAGCCCGTTGTCTCGTTGTTCTCTTCTTTGGCCGCAAAAGTCGATCCAACTCTATCCAATTCACATCTCCCATTCTCTTCTTTCTCCCTCCCATCTTTCTCTCCCCCCATCTTTCTCTCCCCCCATCTTTCTCTCCCCCCATTGCGTACCGTCGCTATCTTTTGTCAACCGACACGGTATCCTAGAGCTGCTTCCCTGCCACAGCTCATCTGCTTCACCGACGGCCCCCGGCAGTGGTCGCGAGCAGATGAAAAGGGCCTGCCCGACATCCCCGTCGCCCCGGCTTCGTTAGCCTGAATGCTCGAAGCCTCGCCGCCATGGCGAACCTCTCTGTCCTGCGGCCAACTCTGGCCTACAACGTGTGCTCCTCCCGCGCTTCTTCCGGCCGGCTCGTCGTCCCCCGCGCGTGGCGGAATGGTCTAGCAGGTAAGCTACGGAGTTCTCGGTCCCCATGAAGACATCAGGAGGAGCAACCTCCCAATTGCTTCGAAATCCGGCGCTTGCGATTTACTAACGCAGTCTACTTGTTCCCCCGCATGCAGCCGTAGCACCGGCATCTGTCGTCGTCACCAGCAAGTGGCAATCCACCCACGCGCGAGCCCGCCGCCAGACCAAAGCTCTCGTCCCGGCCGTCTCTGCCCGGCCTCTCCAGCTCATCCGCCATGCTTCGGTAGTCTCAACTGGCTCTAGTTCCGGCTCCAGCTCCGGCCCCACGGCTACACCGGCAGCGACCTACTCAACAGTCGCAGAACCGCAGTCCGTGCCGTACGCGCAGCTCACCGTCGGCGTGCCAAAAGAAATCTACCTCAACGAGCGCCGCGTCGCACTAACCCCGCAGAACGTGGCGCTCCTCCTCAAAAAGGGCTTCGCAAAGGTCATTGTCGAGCGCGGCGCCGGCGCCGAGGCCGATTTCCCCGACGAGGCCTACGACCGCGCCGGCGCGACGCTCGTCGAGCACCCGCAACAGGTCTGGTCCGGCGCCGACGTCGTGCTCAAGGTCCGCAGCCCGCTCCCGTCCGAGATCGACCTCATGAAGGCGCACCAGACGGTCATCTCGTTCCTGCAGCCCGCGCAGAACAAGCCGCTCGTCGACAAGCTGGCCGCGCAAAAGGCCACGTCTTTTGCCATGGACCTCATCCCGCGCATCTCCCGCGCGCAGGTGTTTGACGCCCTCAGCTCCATGGCCAACATTGCCGGCTACAAGGCCGTTCTCGAGGCCTCCAACAACTTTGGCCGCTTCCTCACGGGCCAGGTGACGGCCGCGGGCAAGATCCCGCCCTGTAAAGTGCTCGTCATCGGCGCGGGAGTCGCGGGTCTCAGCGCCATTGCGACGGCGCGGCGACTGGGTGCCATTGTGCGGGGCTTCGACACGCGTCCTGCGGCGAGGGAGCAGGTGCAGTCGCTCGGCGCCGAGTTCATCGAGGTGGACATCAAGGAGGACGGGTCTGGCGCGGGTGGGTACGCCAAGGAGATGTCCAAGGAGTTTATCGAGGCCGAGATGAAGCTCTTTTACGAGCAGGCGCGCGAGGTCGACATCATTGTCACCACCGCGCTGATCCCGGGCAAGCCTGCGCCCAAGCTGATTACCAAGTCCATGCTCGAGGCCATGAAGCCCGGCTCCGTGGTTGTTGATTTGGCGGCTGAGGCTGGCGGGAACTGCGAAAAGACGAAGCCTGGCGAGCTTTACGTTTACAAGGACGTCAAGATCATTGGTGAGTGGTATGCAGCATGACTTCTGGAAAGATTGACGACTTACACGACGTAGGTTACACCGATCTCCCCTCCAGACTACCAACGCAATCCTCGACACTCTACTCCAACAACGTGACCAAGTTCCTGCTTTCAATGGCGCCAAAGGACAAGGAATTCGGCATCGATCTCGCCGACGAGGTCGTGCGCGGCGCCGTCGTCACCCTCAAGGGCGACGTCCTGCCCCCGCCGCCCCGAAAAGCCCCGCCTCCGGCCCCGCCACCGCCGCTGACCGTCGCGTCGGAAGCCAAAACCGTGGCCCTGACCCCCTTCCAGAAGACGTCCCGCGAGGTGGCGACCGTCACGGCCGGCATGGGCACAATGCTGGCCCTGGGGAAGATGACGGGCCCCCTGTTCATGGGCAACGCTTTCACGTTTGCGCTGGCCTCCTTGATCGGCTACCGCGTCGTCTGGGGCGTCTCGCCCGCGCTTCACTCGCCCCTCATGAGCGTCACCAACGCCATCTCAGGTAAGTTTATTGACAACTATGGAAAAGGGAGACAGTTGGACTAACAACCACAGGCATGGTCGGCATCGGCGGCCTCTTCATCCTAGGCGGAGGCTACCTCCCCCAAACGATCCCCCAAGCCCTCGGCGCCGCCTCCGTCCTCCTCGCCTTTGTAAACGTATCCGGCGGCTTCGTCCTCACGAAGCGCATGCTCGACATGTTCAAGCGGCCCACCGACCCCCCCGAATACCCCTGGCTCTACGCCGTGCCAGCAGCCCTCTTTGGCGGAGGCTACATCGCCGCCGCCGCCACCGGCGCCGCGGGGCTCGTCCAGGCAGGCTACGCCGTCTCCTCCGTCCTCTGCATCAGCTCCCTCTCCAGCCTCGCCTCCCAGACGACCGCCCGCATGGGCAACATGCTCGGCATGCTCGGCGTCGGCTCCGGCGTGCTG